ATCGTAGCACAATCTGCTGAAATCTTTGATCCAACAGTAGTGATTCTGATCTTCTTTTTGGTATAGTAGAAGATTGATCACTTCCTCACCTCTTTTCTTTGTCAGCAGTAGTGGATAGATCACGTTATCCTCATACCCAAAGACATTGATAGCTAGGTTGTTTTGCTTCTCGACTTTGGAAATCTGACTCAGTGGTGTTGGAAAATCGATTCCGAACAGATCAAGTTTGTTGCTATAGTCTGTATACTGAGTTACCCTGTCACTATTTTTCTTTGCTGGATACAGAGCTGAGAGCAGTGCCCACATCAGACATTTATCATCCTTATTCTTGACATTGATGATTGCCTTCTTTTTCTTGAGCTCGTTCGGTAAATCAATGTAGGATTTACCTCTCATTGGCTGATATGCTGCTACATCAACATTAAATCTGGTGATGTGATTGATGTGCCAGTTTGATCCATTCTGTATCCACTTATCGATATTTGTATGAATTTGTGTGTGTGCCGTTTGAATACCGTTATCAATCTCATGAGATGTTGTGACTGTCATTGGTCCACTCCTGAAGTATGGTGTGTCTGTGGTTGTTATGTCATCTCCTTTCTCCATTTCTACTTGTAATGTCAGACTGACTTTCACACCCTTGAGATTTTCCAGTTCTTTCTGTATCAATGTTCTCAGTGGGATGTTGATACTATCAAAGAATATACAGATCTGGATGATTCTCTTTCGGTTCATAGATGAACGATTTCAGAATCCCTTTGGGTACTGACTTTGAGACTGTGAACGGTGGTGTGACAATCGGTTTCCTCTTCCGATTCTCCCGATTCTTCCGAATCCGTTTCTTGAGAAGTTCCCGATTCTTTCTTTGCTCTAATTTTTTGTGAATCCACTGGAGTTGTTTCTCAGTCTTGAGTTTCTTCCCATCATAGGTGATAGTGAGTTTGCTCAGGTCAAATTCCATCTTTACACTACACAAGGATTTTTTCGATCAGTGATAGCATTACTGTATAATCACTACCCTCTAATGTACATTAATCTACATCCTAGAAAGAAAGAAAAAAAGAACGGGGTGTCCAAACCTAGATTCGAACCCACGATCTTGTGATTGGAGACACAGTCATCATCAGCTGACGTCACTGTGAGATTTGACCTTTCTCGGAGTTATTCAGTTTCCGAGTCTGAGCTTTTTCAGAGCTCACATATTTTTCAGTTTCCGAGTCGGGACTTTTTCAGAGCTCACATATTTTTCAGTTTCCGAGTCGGGACTTTTTCAGAGCTCACATAATAATTTTTCAGTTTCGGAGTCGGAGCTTTTTCAGAGCTCACATATTTTTCAGTTTCCGAGTCGGGACTTTTTCAGAGCTCACATAATAATTTTTCAGTTTCGGAGTCGGAGCTTTTTCAGAGCTCACATATTTTTCAGTTTCCGAGTCGGGACTTTTTCAGAGCTCACATAATAATTTTTCAGTTTCGGAGTCGGAGCTTTTTCAGAGCTCACATATTTTTCAGTTTCCGAGTCGGAGCTTTTTCACAACCAGCTGAGTTGATCAAACGGGACCCAGCTGTCGAATCTTGCCGAGTAGCCTTTCCACCTCACAAGGGCTTGTTTCTTCTTGTTGTCCTTTCGGAGCACTTTCTCGATCCGGTAGATTTCTTGAGTAGTTTTCTGGAGCTCTTGTTCATAGAACGACCCGTCAACGGATTCACCATCGAGGTCCTTGACAGAGTACGTAGTGGGTCTGGTCGGGAGAATATCGGTGATCCGGAATACCTCCTCGGTCCAGTTCGGAGTGTATCCTTTCTCGAAATGTCGTTTCTGCTTCACCAGTCGGACGTGGTCATCTATCTGGAATTTAGTGGACCTGGATAGTGGAGATTTCTCACCCAGTGAGTCACGGATTCGATCGGCGTTCTTCTCCCGTGATGCCTCAGTTGGTGTCATCCGAACACCTCTGTGTTTTGTCGTGTTGTACTTCTCTACCAAATGTGGAAGGACATCGATGTACCTGCTGGTGGAGTTAGTACTGAAGTATTTCCACATCCTGGTTTTCAGAGTTCGGTTGAAACGCTCAACTACAACAGCCTTTCCTTCGTTGTGAGTGCTGTACATCGTGATCTGATTCTCATCAAGCCAGTGTTTGAACGTTCGATTATAGAATTCGGTACCCTGATCAACCCACAGCTTACGTGGTTTCCTGCTGCTAGTTTTCACGATGGATCGAAATGCTGATTGGATGTCAACACCTTTCTTGGATTCGAGCGGGACAACCCAAGCATATCGGCTGAACAGATCAATGACAGTAAGCAGAAATTTGATTTCATCATTGTATTTACGAAAAGCTGTCATGTCCACGAGATCGGCAGACCAGATTTCATCAATCTCACTCACAGTCACTTGTCTCCTTGTGAAATTCACACGCTTGGGCTTGTGTAACTCATCAGCCAGATCGTCCGTCCATTTCGTATCTATCTTTTTTTTACTCCTAAACCTATCATCTTGAACAAACCGGACAGGAATCCACCTTCTCTGATTTCCGATTTCTTGATAAATTGTGAACATGATCGACCACATACTGAGCATTTACCCTTGACATATGGTTGACCAGTTGATGTGACTTCTCCTTGTATTCCCCTCATCTGTTGCTTTTTCTTACACGATAGGAAATGAACATTCATCTTTATCTATCTATCTACTTTTTTATTTCTCATGGATACAAAGATGTACCAACAATCCCATATTTTCACAGTGATCTTCCATGCTCTCGTCAATCTTTTCATCATAAACAAGTCTGAAATTTCCATTATCCATCTTGTCAAGCTCTGCTTTTGTCAATGACATAAAAATCTGTGGATTATTGGTATATATGTGGATATTGATCGTGTCATGCTCCTGATCATCTTTCGTGAGTTCCAAACTCACCCCCAGAATATTGTCACGGAACTGTGGAATGTTGGAGAGAGAGTATCCAAACCCAACTGTCCCACGGCAGATTATGTGGTACATTTTCATGTTTGTCTATCTATCTTTTTTTCTTTCCACACATATCACCAATTATTTTTTATCTAAACTGTACACGTTTTATGGTAAGATCCAACAAGTTTGATAGAATTTGTGAAATCAATTACCTACAACGATGGCTGCGTCTTTTCCAAGTGACTATTTCTCCTATGATGACTTCCACTCTGAACCTGATACTCCTGATTGTGGTGATCCAAGGGAGGATGCCGCGGTTTGGTATGGTGATCCAAGGGATGATCCCGCGGCTTGGGATTTTTTTTTTTTTTTTTTTTACTACAAAGCACTGGCCAGCAACATAAAAGGGGAGGTAGACAAAAGTGGACAAGCGAACTTTGACAACACAGAGGAGCGTGGCATGCGTGCCGATGAGGTAGGTCAACCTCCCCCGACCTAGTGGTCTCGGGTTCAACAGTTGGTCTACGCATCAGGAAGGGGAAATGGACAGAGAAAGGGAGAATGAGCATGAGGAGCTTCCCAGGAGAGGAAGAGTGAGAGAGAGAGAGAGAGAGAGACAGAAAATGATAATAATAGAGACAACCGGTTATTCTCAGTGCTGGTGGACTTCAGTGGCCCATAGCCAATTGGTCTGGCGGAGGTGATGGTAGGCCTTGGTCTTGAATGTCGGCAATTTCTTGAGAGTTGGGCGTTCGGCGAGGATTGGAGCAGGCAGTGTGTTCCAGCTCTCCAGGACAAAGTATGGTAAGGAGCGGCGGATGAACTCTGGACTGGAGGCTGGCAGAGGAGTTGCGAGTTGGAAAGAGTGGCCACCGAGGGACTGGCGTTGCCGGCGCGTCCGGGGTGCAGCGTTAACTCTTGCTGGGGGAGGTACCATGTTGGTAAGCAGAGCTGGACCTGGTATGCATTGCAGCTTATACAGGTAGCACAGCCCGTAAACATGCCTTCGGATTGCCAGGCTGGGGAGCAATGAGGGGCCAATAACCTTCATGGCTCGACGCTGGACCAGGTCCAGCTGATGGAGGTGACAATGTGCCGCACTTGCCCAGACGAGAGGGGCGTACTCCATTATAGGCCGTACAAATCCTTTGTACACAGTTAGGCGCCCTGCACTGTCCAGGATCCGAGATGCCTTTCGGAGCAGGCCGAGTCGCTGGTTGGCTCTAACGGCAAGGGAACGGATGTGGGCCCGGAAGGAGAGAGTACTGTCAAATAACACTCCTAGCAGCTTGAGCTGAGGGCTCTCAGGCACCTGCATGCCATCAAATGTGAGCTGTGGGACATCCAGGGATGGTCTGTGGCGGTCAAGGAGTATTGCCTGAGATTTTGATGGCTCGAACTTTATCTTCCATTGGGCACCCCAAGTCTGCAGGCGGTCAATAGATGCTTGGAGGCTATTGCAAGCAGCAGCGATGGTATCTGGGTTTCTGATTAGGGCATAGAGTGTTGTATCGTCCGCATAGACAGCTAGACTGGAGCCTGGGGCTAAACACTGTTCTGCATCGTTTACATATAACAGGAAAAGAGTGGGACCTAGGAGGCTACCCTGGGGCACTCCAGCCTTGATCGGGAACAGTGGGGAGGACTGACCGCCAACAACTACAGTCAGTTTTCGGTCATGGAGATACGACCTTAGCCAAGCCAGGAGTTGGCCGTGGATGCCACATTGCTGTGCCTTCGCAAGGACACCTGGGTGGGAAACCTTGTCGAATGCCCCGGCAATATCAACTGCCAGGGCATGCACAAGACCGCCGCCAGCCAGGGTAGTGGCCCAGGAATGCAGGAGAGCCGTCAGTAGGTCACTTGTGCCCAGTCCACGTCGGAAGCCAAACTGGGACGAGGAGAAGAGTTGATGGGTTTCCAGGTGGTTCACAAGCTGCCGATTGATGATACCTTCCATGATCTTAGAGATGATCGTCAGGAGAGATATAGGCCGGTAGTTCTTCATCATGGATTTGGGTCCTTTCTTGTGCACTGGAACGACACGGGCAATTTTCCATGATTGGGGCTGGACTCCATTTGCAAATCACAGGCGAAACAATCTAGCCAGCGGATGTGCTAGTTCAGCTGCACACTCCTTGAGTACTCGTCCTGGGATCTCATCTGGACCAGTGGATTTGGATGTGTTGAGACGCTTCAGGCACTGTTGGACTTCAGAGACGCGGAAGCGGATGCGCTGCAGGCCCGGAGTGGTAGTGCGGGGTGTTGCTGGTAACTCAGCATTGTCGATGTCATTATCCCCAAGGCTACATTTTTCAGCAAAGAATCTAGCAAGGCACTCGCTCTTGGCTTTCGATGTACTGTGCTCGTGCCCGTCAGCATCAGTGAGTGTTGGCACGTCTGTAGTCCTACCCAGACCGGCGGCGCGCTTGACATTCCTCCACCAGTCCTTGTCTCTCATGGAACCACGTGTGAGACGCTCTTGGACTGTCTGCTCTTCAGCTTGTTGTGCACGATGTTGGGTTGTAATAGATTGAGTGACAGTTGTCATGAACGACTGCTTCAGGCATTCGCTGGGCCCCTGGTGACGCCAGGCCTTCCACGCTTTCTCTTTGGCACGTTGAGCCTCAGTGCATTCTGGTGTCCACCAGCTCGGATCGGACGGCCTTGTTTCCAGCATCTTGTGGGGAATAAACTGCAGCATCCCAGACACGATGTGCCTAGTAACAAGGCTGCATGCTTCCTCTGGGTCCTCCGGAAACTCAGCTGCCCAGGCAATGCGACGGTAGTGGGCACGCAGTCTGTTCCAGTCGGCTTGGCCATATCGCCACACACGCCTCCGTGTGCTGGGCTCATTTTCTAGCGGGGCTTGAGCGAGCACAGCGTGGACAACACAATGGTCTGACCTTCCTATCGGCGGCGAGATACCGGTGGTCACAGTACCAGTGAAGTCAGAGAGCACTAAGTCCAGGGTGTTGAGACCTCGGGTTGGTTCTTGGACATGCTGCATGAGGCTGTGGGCAGCGCTTAGTTCCTCCATGTACTCCCCTGCACGGGTGGTCTTAGAGCTGCCGAGCCAAGCCGTGTTGTGGACATTGAAGTCTCCGACCAGCATGGTGTGGGTGCCGTGTTTTCTGACGCTATCCAGGATGCCATCGAGGTGCTCAAGTGTTGAGATATCAGTGTCTGAGGCGGATCCTGGCCTGTATACAGCACCCAGCACTATCTTACCATGATGGGCAGACTGCACTGTGAGCCAAGTTACTTCGTGAACAGATGAGTCGTACTGATCTAGATGATGGTACGCCAATGGGCTGCGTATCCAGATTGCTATGCCACCACCATGTTCAGTCCTGTCACGCCGGAGTGGGCCGGAGTACCCTGGGATGGCTGACTCGTGAAGGGAGAATTTCTCTGCGGTGATCTTGGTTTCAGTGACAACAGCGATATCAGCTTTGGAGGATACAAGCGCGTGTTGAAACTCTCCAAATTTGGACATGATTCCACCAGCATTTGTAAGGAGGATTTTCATTGTTGCTTGCTTGCAGTATCTGCGCTGCTGCTTTTGTTGTTGCTTGCAGTATCTGCGCTGTTGCTTTTGTTGTTGCTTGCAGTATCTGCGCTGTTGCTTTTGTTGTTGCTTGCAGTATCTGCGCTGCTGCTTTTGTTGCTACCTGCGCTTTGCAGTGGATTGGGCAGGGATGGGGATGTCTCTGGCGTGTCAGTTGGTGGGCAGCCAGGCTGAGCTGACCCTGGTACTGTCTTGTGAGTGTCGGATGTGTGGAAGGTCCACCTCCTGCAATAAAGTGGCCTTGGCCAGAAGTTGGCAGCCAGCAGGATATGCAGGGAGCTGGCATCCACAAACGCTCTTGCAGACATGCAGCCGCTAGCATTGACATGCATGCTACAGGTGTGGAGCACTACTGGTGTGTCGGAGTTGACGGCCCTGCTACGCAAATCAACAAATTCGCGTAACCGGTCTTCAGTTGTCTCCCTGCTGAGGTTACCAACATATACGACAGCTCTCTTCGCTCTGTGGGGCCCATCTGCAATTAGTTTCCATGCATCGTCGGAGATGGGCTGCAACACCTTTGTGCTCTTGTTGCGCTTTCGCCTCCGTGGCTGCTGAAAACCGTCATCCGCGTCACTGTCGCTCACGCTGTCCACATTGTGGCCAGGGCTGGCTGCTGGGCGAGCATCATTTTCAGTACGGGGCGCATCGGATGCTGGACCTTGGTTCAGCGCGCTGCTGTAGCTGGTAGATCTGCTCGTACTCGCACTCATGCTACACTGCCTGCAGGCTGTGCGGGGGTCAGTACGGGTACGGTCAGGGTTCGTAGTACGTCCTGGCTGGCATGGCTGAGGAGCTTTCGCCGCGGCAATGGCGGATTCTTTGAGAGAAGCTACCTCCTCCTTCAGCTCAGATACTTGTCTGGATAGCTCATCGAACCTATTGTTCAGGCGATCCTCGCGATCGGCGGCCTCGGAGACAAGTGCGGCCAGACTTTTTAGCACTGCCGATACATCCGACCCGATACTAGGCAGGGAGCCCAACATTTTCGTCTCAGATTCAGTCAAGGCTGATACACGAGAGTTAGTTCTCGTGGTAGCTCCGGGCATGGCAAGTTTCCGACACTACTCTACTTCTATTTCTAATCACTGATCTAGTCTACTTCCAGTCCGGCCTGATGCCGGCTGGGCTGCAAAAAAGGGAAAAAAGGAGAGCCCGAAAAACGCGTGCCTCACTTTTCAAAATCCCGTGTACCTTGGATGAGATGAATGATAGAATAATGGTAGATAGTCCTTCACTGTTCAGTGATTTCTTTGATGATGTGTATGAAAATGCTCTTGATGAAGAAATGAATATCATCCCAAGCATTTTCCTGAGAATTTGTGAAAAAAAGTATGTAGTACTCTCGAGTTCCTACTCCAACAATCGTCTGTTAGAGATGGTTTAGGAAATTCTTGATGAATATTTGTGAGAAAAATAGAAGAGAGAAAGAAAAGAGAGAAAGAAAAGAGAGAAAGAAAAGAGAAGAGAAAGGAGACCAACTCTCTTCTTTTTTTCTACTTCAAGTACACCGAATTGTCATCATAAACGATTATTTGAATCCTGTTACGTAGAAGTATACCGATGAGAATTTCAAAGATTTTCTATCAGCAAAGATGACTTCTCCTTGTAAGATTTACAAACTTGTGAGCCAACACACCGATCAGGTATATGTGGGGTCCACTTGTCTACCACTGAAAAATCGGATGTACTGTCACCGATCAGCTTACAAAGCCTACCAAAAAGGTGAACGGGGTTTTATGACCTCATTCATTTTGCTTGATCTCGGACATGTAGAAATTGTCCAGATCGACTCTCTGTCAATGTTTGATGAAGATGAGCTTAAGAGGAGAGAACGATACTGGATCGAAAAACTGGATACCGTGAATAAAAACAAGCCTGGAAGATCAGCATCAGAGTGGTATCAAGATAATCACAAGAAAATCAGACAATATGCCAATGAAAGAGTTGTCTGTGAGAAATGTGAGAAGTCTTATCCAAGAAATCACAAATCCCATCATGAAAAAACGAAATTCCACAGGCTCCGTGAATGATAAAATTGATGATGCTTATACAATGAATACCAAAAAAAGAGTTTTTGTGTTTTCCTTTTCTCCTTTTTTTCTTTCCTTTTTTACAATACCAACTGCTCATTTTCTTGACTACGGTTCCATTTATTAATTTTTTTATTTTTTTGATTTTTTTTGATACGAAAGTCCACTATATTCCGGAATATGTGCGAGAAGTGGTGGCGGGGCCAGGCTGCTCTGCCGACCTCAAAGGTCTCGGCGTCTACGCAGATAAAGCGCGCCATAATGCAGTAAAACCATGAAGAGGGGAGGAAGAGGGGAAATGAATATTTGCAATTCTAAACCTGGCCTTGAGCTAATGCTGTTGAAAACGAGTAAAAAACAAACAAAAAAACATTAACCCTAACCCTAACCCTAACCCTAACCCAAACCCTAACCCTAATCCTAAACCAAAATATAATACCAAGGCATACAGCTAATTGCAATTCTAAGACACAGGCCATGCGAATGCTGGTGCAAACGCAAAGTCAAACGCTAACCCTAACCCTAACCCAAACACTGACCCTAGCCCTGAACCAAATATAATACCTTAAGCTTCCATTTATATTCAATTCTAAGCCTGGCCTTGAACTAATGCTGTTGAAAACGAGTAAAAAAAAACACAACAAAATATTAACCCTAACCCTTACCCTAACCCTAACCCTAACCCTAACCTTAACCCTAACCCTAACCCTAACTCTAGCCCTAGCCGTAAACCAAAGGCTAATAGGAAGGGGTACAGCTAATTGCAATTCTAAGCCTAATCCTGAACCAATGCTGGCGAAAACGATCAAAAAACGATAAAAAACATTAACCCTAACCCTAACCCCAACCCTAACCCTAATCCTAAACCAAAATATAATACCAAGGCATACAGCTAATTGCAATTCTAAGCCACAGGCAATTCGAATGCTGGTGCAAACGCAAAACCTCAACGCTAACCCTAACCCTAACCCTAACCCAAACACTGACCCTAGCCCTGAACCAAATCTAACACCTTAAGAGAGCATGTCTGAGAATAGGAAAAGTATGTGTGCAAGTGGATCTCTCCGATTTCGCTCAAACATTTCCAGGTAGGTTCCCTTTGGGGTGTGGATCGATTGTGCAAAGCCCTTGAAAAAGTTTCTGAAGGGAACCTTGAAATTTGCATACCCCTCAAAATGGCCGAAATATCACATTATTTATGGGTCTAGAACGAGTCACGCCACAGCGTATACGAACAAGCTATGAACAAAACTCCATCAAGCCAACATTGCCTCGCCTTAGAAGAGTTCCAGGAGCAGTACCGCTTAGCCACGCCAGCATCCCAGAAGACGAGGTCCATCACCCCCTGACGCCACAAATGATCGTCTTGAAAATAGCTAATTTACAAGCGATGGCAAAACAGCCATCTACGTTCTCAATTGGCCAGAACTATACACCGGCAGATAGTAGAACACCTCTTCTAGCGCTGAGGACATGTCCCCCATCTTCCTTTTGGGGTTTTCTTGATATAAACCTTTTTGAAGTTTTAAACTCGACCATGCTGAAATACGGCCAAAGTCATACCTGCGCAGGAAAGCTCGCCACTCCGCGACGTCTCCTCAGCAATTTCTACTCCAACACTACTCCCAAGGCCGCAGAACAAAGTGTAGTGTTGACTCTGACAAGGAAAAGCAGCGGTGATCACTTGTCACTCCAAACGACAAGCTTCTCCTTGTGCCACCAATAATTTTTTGTGCGACTGTTGATGCAAAAGTGACTGAAGGCCTGGGCGCAGTTTTTTATTTTTATTGCCAGATGCACGGTGAGATCGCGTGCTCTGTGACGTAGGATGACGCTTCCTGCATCACGATACGCGGCCATCGATCGCGAATGTGCCTGGAACGCTACTCGGACCAGACCATGATCTGATGATGGCAGAGGTAAGAATGAGCTTCATTTCCTGCTTGAACTGCTGAGAACCCCCACAAACTGTCCTAGGAGTGTTGCAATGGCAGCAAGCCGTTGAAATATGCCCCGTACAGCATGGAGAGTTATTCGTCTTTCAAACTTACCTCCTGCAATCCCGAACATAGTCCAACAGTAAAAGTCCCTTGTTTTCATGTCGATGCTCGACAAAAGCGGCTAGCTCGGTCCCTTTGTGTTGACTGGCACGCGAGCAGCACTGGCTGCACGCACTTGTCGCGTGAACTGCATGAGAGATTTCTTACGTCATAAAGAATGTCATGTCATCATCATTTCACTGGTCTTCGACCTACATGGTGAGGGAAAGTCCCGGTTCGTAGGCCTACAACACGGTCAGCGTGTTCTTGAGCGCAGTAACAACACAAGTGTGATCACTTCCAGACCAACGGGCGTTCAAGGCGAGTAACAAGCGCACTTGACAAAGGTATCTCTGAAATCTCGTGAGCCATGGGCCACGCGACTTGGCATTCTTGCGTCACAAGGCACGTGATTTCACCGTGCATCTTGCAATAAAATTCAAAAACTGCGCTCAGGCCTTCAGTCACTTTTGCATCAACAGTCGCACAAAAAATTATTGGTGGCGCAAGGAGAAGCTTGTCGTTTGGAGTGACAAGTGATCACCGCTGCTTTTCCTTGTCAGAGTCAACACTACACTTTGTTCTGCGGCCTTGGGAGTAGTGTTGGAGTAGAAATTGCTGAGGAGATGTCGCGGAGGGGCGAGCTTTCCTGCGCAGGTATGACTTTGGCCGTATTTCAGCATGGTCGAGTGGAAAAATTCAAAAAAAATATTTCAAGAAAACCCCAAAAGGAAGATGGAGAACATGTCCTCAGCGCTAGAAGAGGTGTTCTACTATCTGCCGGTGTATAGTTCTGGCCAATTGAGGACGAAGCTGGCTGTTTTGCCAGCGCTTGTAAATTGGCTATTTTCAAGAC